TAGCTACTCAGGAGGCTGAGATCTGAGGATCTCGGTTCAAACCCAGCCCAGGCAGAAACATCTGTGAGACTCTTATCTCCAATTAACCACCAGAAAACCAGAAGTGGCGCTGTGGCTCAAGTGGTAGAGCACTAGCCTTGAGCTGAAGAGCTGAGGGACAGTGCTCAGGCCCAGAGTTCAGGCCCCACAACTGGACCAAAAAAAAAAATTAAAGCCAGACGTTCAAAGCTGGCCATACCATGTCCTTGAAAGCCTGGCGCTCTGTCAAAAGCTTTATGCCAGTTTATTTAAAACTGAAATCAAATTCATTTAAGAGTCAGAGCAAAACCAGTAATACACGGGGGAGAATGTAATCCTCTTTCAGTGGGTGAAGATGGTGCTGGGAATTATACATGGGTAGGTAGAAGTACACTGGCCCCTTAAGTAGAGGAACTCTAGTAAAAAAATCATTCCTACTGCAAATGACAGTCACCTCTCTTGTTCATTGTTAGATGATTTGACTGTTAATGGTGGTCTATTCTAGAAGTTCTATAAAATTTTCATGAAGTAAACAAAGCTTATAGTGAAGATTGAGGTATTTTCCTTAGTGGTTCTTCAGAAATTTTAGGATTTAATTTATATATGTACTCAAGAGCAACCAACACATTTAACATACAATTTTATCAGCATGACAGTCATCGTATTAATAATAATGTTTGCCTAAACCTACCAATGGAAACTTCATGAAAGGACTGAATATTTAGATAATCTCCTCCTCTTCCTCTTCCTCCTCCTTCTTGTCTTCCTCCTCCTCTGATAATACCAGAAATCAAGGAGATACTTGAATGCCTATACTTACTGCTGCAATATTCACAACACCTAAGATAGAGAATCAGCCTGGAGCCCCCCACGGATGGATGGAAAAAGAAAATGTGTGTATATGCATAATGGAATATTAGTCAGCCACAAAGAAATTTATCTGTTATCATTTGTAATAAAATGGATGAAACTGAAAGACGTTATGTTGAGAAAAATAAGTCAGACACAGAGAGACAAGGACTGCGTGTTTTCTCTCATATGGGCATGCTAAAAATAAGGTTTCTCTGAATGTGGAACGAGATTAGAGGGCTGAGGCGGGAACAAAGGGAGGACAGGTACAGGTACTTAGACATAGCTAGAAACGTAAGTTCTGGTGTTCTGGCGTGTGCTCTGTAGCACTGTGTTGCATCCTTGGGAATACGGAGGAGGGGAGCTGGGAGGCTCCGGAAACATAGCAAGGACAAGGAGATGGAAATACAGCTCAACTGAAGTGATCAGCACGCACGTATTAGCACACAACATATAACATGATAACCAAACATGCTAATAAGTGCATATGTACTACATGTTAACCAAAGGAATTTTTCGAGTCTTTTCCACATTCGTGTCTATTCCAGTTAGGAAAATCTTTATCAGCAGAGTTCGCTGTAGTAAGACTCTCAAGGAGCCATCAAGAGACTGGATAGAGGACGTAGGGGAGACACAGATCCCCCAAATAAATTGAAGAATCTTTTTTCTAACTATAATTTTTTCTATTTTAATTATTTTTATCTTATTTATTTTTTTCCCAATTTTTTTCCTTCTTCATTGTTGTTCTGTTCATTCCTAGACACACAGCCTACAGTGGTAATTAGGTTCCCTCTTTATAGTATGCATACTTAATTCAGACTATATTTTGATTACTCGATCCTCTATTTCTCAATCTATCTTTAATTTTACTATTACTACTTCAGACAGCTTCTTAGGGTCTCGGTTTGCTAACCTGTGTACAATGCAGCCAGATAGCCAACTGACCTCCCTGGGCTAACCTGAAGCCAGAGAACCATGGAAATGTGAAGCTATTCTCCGCTCAGCAACCTGGTGTGAAATTCTGTGAGGTAAAGAAGATGGCACAGTGTGGGCCAGCCCCACTGCGCTGTCTCACTGACCGGAATGAAGGCTCTGGAGCCAGCTCTGTGGAGCAGCAGTTCAACTGCGCTGTAGAGCTAGCCTTACTTAGTATCCATGGGAGAACAATGGCCCAGGCAATGATTCTTTCCAAAACATAGTCCCTGTGGCTGAAGTCAACATGAACCCTAGGTAATATCAATGTTAGTTTCGTTGAGGGGCTCAGCCATACAACACTAAGGGTAGTCTGAAAAGATGGGAAAATGTTAACTGGGGGCAATAACAAAATTGCTACCATCAGTAGCACTCAACTTTTTAAATTCCTTAGACACGAGGCGCATGCCATCTTCCAAGAACTGTCCCGATAGAAACCCAAAGTACTTCTTTAAGAGTAGATATTCTTTAAGTGCATGTTACTGAAGCCACATAGCTCACAAGTGTAGTGCCATTACCGAGATCTTTTTATAGATAAGAAAAACAACTTAACACTGAGCACTGGCCTAAGGAAAGTACTAGTACATGCACAGTACTTTCCTCTCCCAAAGAAGAGGATTTTTTTTTGGCCTGATTTCTAATTTTAAAAAGAAAAAAAATT